ATGGGACACCTGGGGACACACTCACCTGCCTGCGCTCGGGTCCTGGGTCCCACACTCAGCCCTGGAAAAGAGTTCCTGTGAGAGGGTTGCCCCAAATCCTGAGCAGAACCTCTCCTTCCCACGAGCTTCCTGTGCTTGGGGTCTCTAACAGCCCAGGGCCTGGCTGTGACGCAGGTTCCTCCCAGACTAGGGCGTCCTCTCCCCTCCTGAGATCTCACCGAGGAGAAGCAGGGTCGTGAGGGTGGGGGTCATGGCGTCTCCTGCCTCTGTCCCTGCTGTGCAGATGGAGGGGCCTTGGTGCCCAAAGGACAGGCAGAAGCACAGGGTGTGGCCACTCGGAGGCTGGTCTGCCTGGTCATGGGGTTGTCACATCAGCAGCCAGGCAGGAAGGGGAACAGCCTGGCCGTCATTTCCCCAGGGCTGAGGCTGGAGAAGGCAGCAGGCTTTGCAGATGTTTCGACCACATCCGAGGCCTCACCTGATCCATAAACTGTTGTCTTCCTGGCCTGCTACCCCCTCGTGACCCAAGCTTCAACACGTATTTGTTAAGTATTTGCAATGTATCTGGCCCAGAAATACATCGCAGGACAGGACTGATTCAAACTAGTTTGCAGAGCTCAGACTACCGAAACAAAACCCCCAGACTAAAAAAGAAACAGAATTTAAAACGGAGTATCGGGTGTATTATTTTCCTGTTGTGTTGTTACCATAACCAGTCACTACAAGCTAGTGGGTAAAACTGTGAAGATTTACAATGGTACAGTTTTGGAGGGTTGAAGTCCAAAATGGACACACCTGAGCTAAAATCTGGGGGTCCTCAGGCTGTGTTCCTTATTTTTTTAATGTATATTTTTGAGAGAGAGAGAGAGAGAGAGAGAGCGAGTGAGCAGAGGAGGGGCAGAGAAAGAGGGAGACACAGAATCAGAAGCAGGCTCCAGGCTCTGAGCTGTCAGCACAGAACGCGACGTGGGGCCTGAACTCACGAGCTGTGAGTCATGACCTGAGCCAAAGTCGCACACCCAACCGACTGTGCCACCCAGGTGCCCCAGACTGTGTTCCTTCTAGAGGCCCCAGGAGTGAATCCATTCACATCTTCCCTGCCATCTTCAGGACATCACATCACTCCACCTGCTCTGGGGTCACTTCTTTGGCTCTGACCCCCTGCCTCCTTCTTTCACTCATTAGGACCTTTATGACGACTCATGTCCAGGCATTCTGTGTCTACTGGAGTCCAGGAGCACCCCAGAAGGTCTTTCACAAAGGAGACTAGTTCTCTACAGAAATGGCATAGTGTGGTTCCAAAATCTCTAAAATCTATGCCCTCCTTCATCCATATAGTTCTCTGCTGAAGGATGTTGACCTCATCTGCCACAGGTGCTCCAAACCCCAATGCATGTCTTGAGTCATGCAACTCAGGCCAGGGCCCACTGCAAGGGTTTCTCTTGTTTCTCACCACTCAAAGCCAACAGCCTCTCAAGACACTCAGTAAGTGGGTGGAGGTCGCAAGCCCAGGGAGCTGTATGTTGTCTCCACATTCCCAAGTTGGCCCACTAGGGAGTGAATTTTTGTCTCCTTAGCAGGAGGATGAGACAGAGCAATGAGTCTTCACCTTGGGTGGGGTATCTCAACATGCCTCAGGCAGCTGTGCTCCTAGAGATTTCACCGAGGCAGCAGGAACCTGAGTTTTGGGGAGATTTCTTTCCCACACTCTTACAAAGCACCTAGAAGAGTTGCTACTCCCTGTTTCACAGATCCAATCAGCATGGTGCGTTCCTGTATGATATCTTGTGTAATGGAGGGGCAGTAACAGTCCCCACAGCCTTGATAACACAGGGCTGGAGACATAACGTGGCCCTGAATGTGGACAGTGACAGCGTATAACTGGCCCTGATAACTAACCGCATACTGAACCTGATGGCTTTTACAGAAAGAGCCAAGAAAATAAACCCACCAATCAGGAGCTGCACAGCAGGTGCCAAGGGGATTGGTGGTTTTTTTCTATGGGCCTTCAGATGGAGTAGAAGTGGAAACTGGAATGACCTGACACACAAGAGCCTGCTTCTCCAAAGCCCGTCTATGCCTTCCCTGAAAACCAAGTAGGCAAGTTGAGTGGGGATGTCTGAGACACCTACCTCTGTATCTCTTTGAGTCCTCGATAGCGGTGCAAATCTGTGCAATCTCTTCAAGAGTGCAGAATTACTGGGGTCCCTGGGTGGCTCAGGTGGTTGAGCGTCGGATTTCAGCTCAGGTCATGATCTCGCAGTTCATGAGTTCGAGCCCCATGTTGGGCTCACTGCTGTCAGCCTGTCAGCACAGAGCCCGCATCAGATCCTCTGCCCCTCCCCCGCTTGTGCTTTCCCCCCAAAAATAAATAAATATTTTTTTTAAAAGAGTGCAGAATTACCTTCGTTCCACTATTTCGGTAGGGAGACGTGTTTCCAGAGCCTTCCACATGGCCTTTCCTTTGCCAAATCTCTTACTCCACGTGTCAGAAAACCACTGCCCGTTGTTGAGGATATCTGTGCCGCCTAAAGATTCCAGAACTAGGAAACTAACTACAAGGGTGGGTTCAGGGACCCACTAATCACACCTCCTCTTTATGCCTTTACTCTCACTGGCCCACTCAGACATCAGTAGTTTGGGGGTCTCCAGAAGTAATTGAATATTTATAACCAAATGGTAAGGTCAACAATGCATTTTTAGGAAAAAAAAAATCCGCAGGAGACTAGAGGTTACTATTTTACCAGTAAAGAAGGCAATGGCATTGTTCTTAAGTGAGGGGAGACAAAATGCTCAGAAACTGAAAAGCCTGCACACAGGGCATGGAGATACCGTCCGCTCTCAACTTCCAACACACGTTCCAAAACGTGAATGTGCATGAGGCGCGGGTCCTAACTTCCTCCTCTCTGGAGAAACAGATTCTCCTGGAAAGAGCTCTTCATCCCCATTTCTCCTACGCAGAAATTCTTACTCTGTTACTTCCCATTTCAGGGTAGATACCAGATCTGAACCTGCCTCTCTTGGTGAGTCTCCACTCCTATCTCGGCCTAACCGTCTCCTGAATCCCTCCCCGCTAGGCTCCCCTTCACCTCCAGATCCAATATAATCTCACCTGGTGTCTAGGACTTTCATAGAAGTGACTCATTTTGCACTTCAAACCGGTTTTATGCTATTCGCACATAGATTGTCTCTCCCTGCCTCGTAAATAATTGTCCCTGACAGGGTAGGGGGTGCATCTCAGAATTTGTTATAATGACTCTGTAGACAAACAAAAGGAATTCAGTAACAAATTGCCCCATGGAAATCTTGGTTTTTAAATTTTTGGTAATCTTTATTTATTTTTGAGAGAGAGAGACAGAGCACGAGTAGAGGAGAGTCAGAGAGAGGGAGTCACAGAATCCAAAGCAGGGTCCAGGCTCCGAGCTGCACAGAGCCTGATGCAAGGCTCAAACCCACAGACTGTGGACTGTGAGATCGTGGCCTGAGCCGAAGCGGAGGCTTAACCGACTGAGCCACGCAGGCGCCCCACCCCACCCCCGCCACGGAATTCTAAGCCACGTCTTCTCAGTGCTGAATCATCAGCAGACCTCACACTGTGCTCCAGCACGTGAAAGATAATAAGTGAACATTTATATAGCAAACACATTATTAATGCTTGGATAATATTTGCTTAGTTGATCGCCAATGCTTAGTTTAAGACTATTTGTGAATGAATAGTAAATTGGTAACACACCACCAAGAAGATAAATTTGAGGGGAATTTTAAAGTAGAATTCAAGGGGGCGCCTGGGTGGCTCAGTCAGTTAAGTGTCTGACTTCGGCTCAGGTCATGATCTCATGGTTTCATGGGTTCGAGCCCCACATCAGGCTCTGTGCTGACAGCTCGGAGCCTGGACTCTGCTTTGGATTCTATGTCTCCCTTTCTGTCTGCACTCCCCCTGTTCATGCTCTGTCTCTCTGGGTCTCTTAAAAATAAATAAAAATGTTAAAAAAATAAATAAATAAAGTGGAATTCAAGGCTCGTTCTAAAAGTACAAAGTGATATCATAAATATGACTCACTTTCCTTCCCCACAGAGTACAGCAGTGAGTTTCACAACTCAGTGACTTTCCTGCCAGCCCCGGGCTGTGTGGAGGGGCCAGGGGACAGAGCCTAGAAGGCCACGCTGAGCAAGAGGGTGCATGAGTAGGCATCATTAGCCTCCACCTCTGTCCACATTTTGACACTGAAATTTTACAGGAAGCAGAACAGCTATTTCCCCATTTGTCAGTCCCTATAGTGGTCCCAAATGTGATGGGGACTTCTCCTTTCTCAGGTAACCATTTCTACCTGTCATAAGCACACAGTTGTGCATTGCAGGCGCTGTCCAAAGGTGCCACCAAGTGAAGAGTGCCCGGAGCCAGGTTCGGAGCTGGACAGTCAGAAGGTTTGTGGTTCCTGCCCAGGTGACCGGCTCCCCCTGCACTTTGGTGGTAGACGTTGAGTACCTTTCCTCGCAGCTGCTGGTCATGGCTGGGGTGGTGAGTGGAGAAGACTGAGGGCTGATGAGAAGGGGTAGGCTCTGCAGAGGAAGAAACCATGGTGCATACAAAAGAACTCGTTTGTCCGACGGCACCTCACATTTAGATTCGGGCCGTACATTTTGGGGTGGAGTACCACTCCAGCGACATTGTCCTCATTTTCTCTTAGTGGGGATTTTTGCTTTCGGAACTTGCTTAACTTTGGCACCCCCCAGGTTTGTCCACAGTGAAGCTGCCATTAGCCCTTTGTAATCAGTCACTGATTTGTGGGGAGCTAGTTTGAGACTAGGTACCTATCACGTTCCACCATGAAATTTCCACCAGTTGATTCTGTCAGCCACTGACCATCAAGCTGAAGCAAATGCCTTCTCTTCTCCCAGAGGTATTCATTTTTATATAAATAATATTGTGGATTTCACTGTTTTCAAATGCCTAGGAAACATAGCTGGAGCTCCTGGTATTTCTTTCTTTTTAAAAATGTGTATTTATTTATTTTTTTGAGAGAGAGCCCAAGCAGGGTAGGGGCAGTGAGAGAGAGAGAGAGAGAGAGAGAGAGAGAGAGAGAGAGGAACCCAAGCAGGTTCTACACTGTCAGCACAGAGCCTCATGTGGGGCTTGAACTCATGAACCATGCATGAGATCATGACCTGAGTCAAAATCAAGAGTCGGCCACTTAATGGACTGAGCCACCCAGGGGGCCCTCCTAATATTCTACAATAAGCAGCGGCATCTGGGCTTTCTGATTCCCCCATATCTTCATATTGATATCTGATGTTCTTACAGCGCCATTTTTTCTTCTCTTTACTAGTATGTTCTTTTCATTTAACAGTTCACCCTAAAATCCGCTTTATGTAAAAATAACTTTCTTGCAAAAGGGTGAAATTGGACCACTTTCTTAACACCATGCACAAAAATACACTCAAAATGGATTAAAGACCTCATTGTGAGACCTGAAACCATAAAAATCCTAGAAGAGAACGCAAGCAGTCATTTCTCTAAAATTGGCCATAACAACATTTTTCTAGCTATGTCTCCTCAGGCAAGAGGAAAATTAAATCGTTGGGACCACATCACAGTAACAAGCTCTCATAGCAAAAGAAACCATCAACAAAATAAAAAGGCAACCTACTGAATGGGAAAAGATATTTGCAAATAATGTGTCTGATAAAGGGTTAATATCCAAGATATATAAACAAACTGAGGGCTGATGGGGGGTGGGAGGGAGGGGAGGGCGGGTGATGGGTATTGAGGAGGGCACCTTTTGGGATGAGCACTGGGTGTTGTATGGAAACCAATCTGACAATAAATTTCATATATTGGGAAAAAAAAAAGAATTTACACAATTCAATACCCAAAACACAAATAATCTGATTAAAATGGGCAGAAGACATGGGTAGACACTTTTCCAAAGACGACATCCAGATGGCCAACCGACACATGAAAAAATGCTCCACGTCACTCATCATCAGGGAAACACAGATCCAAACCACAATGAGATACCACCTCACACCTGTCAGAATGGCTAAAATCAACAACACAACAAACAACAAACGTTGGCGATGATGCAGAGAAAAAGGAATCCTCACGCACTGTTGGTGGGAAGGCAAACTCGTGCAGTCACGTGAAAAACAGTATGGAGGTTCCTCAAAAAGTTAAAATAGAATTACCATATGATCCAGTGATTCCGCTCCTGGGTATCTGCCCAAAGAAAATAAAAACACTAATTTGAAAAGACATATTCATCCCTATGTTTACTGCAGCATTATCTACAAAGGCCAAGATATGGAAGCAACCCAATCATGGATAAGGAAGCTGTGATGTGTACATAGACAGATACACACAATGGGATGTTACTCAGCCATGAAAAGGATGAAATCTTACCATTTGCCACAACATGGTTGGACCTAGAGTGTATTGTGCAAAGTAAAATAAGTCAGATAGAGAAAGCCAAATGCCATATGCTTTCACGTATATGCAGAATCAAAAAACAAAACAAAACAAAACAAAACACAACCCAAAAGAAATGAATAAGCAAACAGACAAAAAGCAGAATCAGATCTATAAATACAGAAAACAAACTGGTGGCTGCCAGAGGGGAAGGGAATGGGGGTGGGGGGTGGGCAAAAGGGGTGAAGGGGAGAGGGAGGCACAGGCTTCCAGTTGTGGAACAAGTAAGTCATAGAATAAAAGGTACAACGTAGGGAATCTGGTCAATGATGTTGTGATGGCATCATGTGGTGACAGAGGGCAGCTACACTTGTGATGAACACAGCCTATCATACAGAGGAGTTGAATCACTCTCTTGTGCACCTGACACTAATGTAACGTTCTGGGTCAACTATACTCTAAAAAAAAAAAAAAAGAAGATAATTTTCTGTTGTCTTTTACCTTTTCAGTTTATCTAGCTTGATTTCCCACTAGTTCACCAGTACAAATAATGCTTCAATTAGTAACCTTGGGATATATCTTCTCATATTTTGGAGGGCATTTCCTGGGCAAAAGCATAATTTGCATATGGTGTTTTGGTAAATAATGACAATTTCCCCTAAATGTGAACTGTCCAATTTCTTTTTCCACAAAAAAAGCAATCCCTTTATTTTAAGGAAATTGTTATTTCCCAAAGATATAGAACTTTGAGGGTCTGGGTTCAATTTTGCATTCCTACCAACAATATGAAAGCATTTCTGTTCCTTCTCAGATTTGTAAAACCAACTTGGCAAGTTTCTATTTTTTGCCAAATAGAAAAAAATAACATTTCGGCTTAGTTTAAATTTGCATTTTTTATAGAAGTAAATCTGAACAGACTTTTGTGTTAAAGTGCCATTTTCTTTTTTTTTTAATTTTTGTGCTGTAAAAGAGTGTTCATTTTCTTTTTCTTTTTTTTTTTTTAATTTTAATTTTTTTTTTCAACGTTTATTTATTTTTGGGACAGAGAGACAGAGCATGAACGGGGGAGGGGCAGAGAGAGAGGGAGACACAGAATCGGAAACAGGCTCCAGGCTCTGAGCCATCAGCCCAGAGCCCGACGCGGGGCTTGAACTCCCGGACCGCGAGATCGTGACCTGGCTGAAGTCGGACGCTTAACCGACTGCGCCACCCAGGCGCCCCAAGAGTGTTCATTTTCATGGAAAACATTAAAATTAATTTGGAAAAGAACAGAGCACAGGCATTGGATTATTCCTTTTGTTGTTGTGAAATATCCTGAATATTTATTTTTATTATTTATTATTTTTAAGTTATTTTTATTTTTATTTTGGTATTTTAAAAAATTCCATAATAGTTAACATACAGTGTTATACTAGTCTCAGGTATACAATATAGTGATTCAACACTACTATACATTACCCAGTGCTCATCATAGTAAGTGCCATTTTAATCTTTTTTTTAATTTCTTATTCACATAGTTTGCCATGTGTCTATTTTTCTTCAATAATTGACATTTATATCTATAATGTTCATATACATGTGTATGCATATACATATAAATATATGCAGAATCTTTGATATATGTTATAGATATTTGATTTCCACCTATGTTTTGACTTTTTCTTATTTTTTGTGTCATGAAAAGAAGTTTATTTTAATTAAAAAGTTTTTTTAATGTTTATTTATTTTTGAGAGAGACAGAGACGGAGCACAAGCAGGGGAGGGGAAGAGAGAGAGGGAGACACAGAATCTGAAGCAGGCTCCAGCCTCTGAGCTGTCAGCACAGAGCCCGATGCGGGGCTTGAACCCACAAGCCGTGAGATCATGACCTGAGCCGAAGTCAGACACTTAACCTACTGAGCCACCCAGGTGCCCTAAGATATGTTTATTTTTATGTAGTTCTATTTCCATTATTTTCTTGGCACTACATCTGCATTTTGAGTTATATTTTATTTTTTTTAATATTTCTTTTTTATTTTTCTCAGCTTTATTGAGAATTGGCATATAACTGAATTACATCTTGAAAGTCATGTTTACTTCACATGCCTTTGTGGGTCATTTGTTCACCTATTTTATGTTTAGGGTTTTTTTTTTTTATGTTTGTTATTTATTTTGAAAGAGAGAGAGAGAGAGTGAGAGAAAGTACGTGAGCACGGGAGAGGCAGAGAGGGAGAGAGAAAATCCCAAGCAGGCTCTGTGCTGTCAGCGTGCAGCCCACACGACCCTGGAATCATGACCAGAACAGAAATCAAGAGTCTGATGCTTCATCGACTGAGACACCCAGGTGCCGCCTAGTTTGCATTTAGATCTCTGTTTTATCTGGAGTTTTATCTGTGTACCGTGCGACCTATGGGTCTAATTTCATTCCTTTCTGCCCAATCCCATCTTTGCCCCAGTGAGTTGATATACCATCTCGTTAGTATCTATCACATACTAAATTTCCATATGCCCTGGAGTCTACATCTGAACTTTATATCACGTTGCTTTTTTCTGTCTATTACTGTGTGGACAGCAACTTGTTTTAATCACGTGGTCACTTTGGTTGAGCCAGCCCACTCCTACGTCCATACCTGCACTTTGCTTTTTTCCTAGCTCTTCTTCCGTTTTCGTTTATCTGTGTGAACTTTCGTATCAACTTGCTTAGTTTGAGGAGAGCTCCTGGGTATATTTTGGGGACTCAGTCACATTTATAAATTTGCTTACAGAGAACTCACACCCTTACCACACCCAGTTATTCCATCCAGTGATAAAGGCACGTCTCTCTTTGTGCAAGTCAATTTTTGGTACCATTCAGAAATGTCTGAAAGGTATATATTTGTGTGTGCTTCAAGTTATGCACATGGCGTAAAACATCCATTCCTTAGAATTTTCTTATCTCGCTGTCATTGGTCTTTAGGGTAAAGTTGGGATTTATTGGTGTGTATGAAAGCTGTTGGTTCCTACAAATTAATTTCATAACAGCTAACTCATGTGATATTTTTTACTGCTGGGTGACTTTCACCATCGGGTCTCTAGGGCTTTCCAGGTCACTTCACTTCTAGCTGTGCACTCTTGCTCAATATCTTGCCCTCCTCACCCACATCCTTGCTGTCCAATTCCCTAAGAATTACACACTCAAATTCTCCCTGCTCCTCAAATTCTTCAAAGAACTGGCTCATCCCACCTTTCCAACTCTGTTTTCCACTTGATATCCCCACTAGAGTAGAACCACCATAATTCATCGAGGGCAAGGTCTTGCAATGCAAAAAATTTCAGTAAAAAAAAAAAAAACAAGAAAAAATGGCTAGAGTCCATTCTAAGTGTTTTAATACCCACCCCCTTGGTTTTTGTTGGTAACCAGCCTGGTTTCCGGGCTCAAAGAATGCAATGAAAAATTTGTGGAAATGCAAGAATTGTAAATATATGCCTAATCTGGACAGTGATGTTGCAAAATAGGAATCCAACAGTACAAAATAGTAAGAAATGATAGGAATACGTGCTTTCTTTCTCTCTCTTTCTTTTTTTTAAGTAATCTCTACACCCAACGTGGGGCTCAAACTCATGACCTCAAGATTGAGAGTCACATGCTCCTCCACCTGAGCCAGCCAGGTGCCCCTGTGAAAGTTTCTTTAAGAGCTGATAGAACCCAATAACATGCTGAGGCAGGAGGCCCCATCTCATTCTTTCTTTACTTATTTTTATTATTTTGAAATGTTTGTTTATTTTTTTGAGAGAGAGAAAGAGAGTGTGTGTGAGAGGGAGACACAGAACCTGAAGCAGGTTCCAGGCTCTGAGCTATCAGCACAGGGCCTGACATGGGGCTCGAACCCACGAACCATGAGATCATGACCTGAGCTGAAGTTGTACGTTTAACTGACTAAGCCATTCAGGTGCCCCATCATCCTTGATGCCAAAGAAACTACCTGCACTAACATATTTGCCTTAGGCGCTGCTTTTAGAATCACTAACACTAATTCAAGAACTAGAAAATTCCATGAGGTTTCTCCCCCCAGTGACATGACTGCTTCTCTAATTGCTCAAGATTCCTCACCATAACTAGCCCAAGACGTCTTCTTACTGATTTATTCACCCATTCACCATTCAGTAAGTCTTACTCCTGTTCATTTCAGAAATAGTGAAACATGTCAACCCACAGCCACCAAATGAAGAGATAATGTTGAGCAAAGTGGATATATTCTCTGCCCTCATGGAAGATCTGGTGTCACTGAGAAAGCCCAATTAATAAAACAATTACACAAATAAGTCTAATGTAGGAACCAGGATTAGTCCCATGGTGGAAAGTTTTAAAGCAACAGGACAACATAAGATAAAGAGATAACCTGTTTTATGGATTCCAGATTGAAGGTGATGAGGGAAAATTATTTAAGTTACAGCTAAATGCCAAGCATGAATTGATATTATAGGAATTAAGTGACGTTAAGAGGAAGAAGAAAGCTCATCACAAGTGCCCTCCTCAGTACCCATTACCCACCTAGCCCATCCCCCACCCACTTCCCTCCATCAACTCTGTTTGTTCTCTATCCTGAAGTGTCTCTTGTGAAGTTGGGGGGGGGGGGGTGGACGGCAAGATGGCGGAACAGCATGGAGGTTTTTGTGCAACCCTGAAATACAGCCAGATCAACACTGAACCATCCCGCACACCTAGAAAACTGATCCGAGGATTAACACAACAATCTGCACAGCCTGAATCACAGAATTCAGCAGGTACATGGCGCGGAGAGCTGAACTGGGGGAGAAAGTCACCGAGGGCAGGGAGCTGTTTGTGCTTGCGGAGAGAGGACGGAGTCGGGGGAGAGTACAGGAAGCATCCCCCCACCCCCAACGCCCGAAAGCGGCTGGAGAGAAAAGAAAGTGTATGCAAGGGACTGAACAAAAAAGGGAGAAAGGAGAAGGAGAGAGTTTAAATTCCATGAAACTCTGTAAACAGGGGGAGCGCAGAGTCCAAAGCTCCGCAGCTGCATACCTGGTGGAGCTCTGATGGGAGGGGCGAATCCCCAGGAGCAGAGAGCGAGGACCTGGGGTCACACGGGAGGCGGTTCCCCTTCTGGGAGGAATCCCCACGGGCAAAGGTCCCAGCGGATTCTGGAGAACAACCACATTCGCTGGTGCTGGAACAGGGTCGTTGGGGGGTGAAGCCTGGCGCCAGATGTGAGTTGTGATTTTCCAGAATCCCTGAAACACTGCTGCTACATGCCCCCATGAACTTTTTCTGGGACGGGCTGGCACCCGGCTGCGGTCTATGGGCGTTGGCAGCAGCACAGTCTCGAGAACGTTCCCGGGGGCGGCCGGCAGGTGAGACCCTCCCGCAGAAGGTCTGAGCGGGGACAAAGCCGCAGTCCCTCAGAAGTGACCGGCAGGAAACAGCCGCGTCTGAGATAAAATCCAGGAGGGAGGCGCTGCCTGGCAACCTGACAGCTTGCTAACGGACAGTGTGGAAGCGGGGAGTGGAGGGAAGCCGGACACAGAGGATGAATGCGCGATTGCTGGCCAGAGAGAACAGAGTTCCGATACAAGAGACCCGCTACCTGGGTGACGCCATTTTTGCTCCTCCGCGCATGCGCACACACGCCTAGGTGCGCCGCAACATCTACCCCAGTAAGCTAAGCAGCGCCATCTAGTGGAGAACACGAAGCCCCGCCCAACTGCCAACCGCGCTCTTCAGGAACAACACGAGTCTCTCCACCTGCTTAGTTTATGGACTACAAAGTGCTTCATAGTTCAACTTGTAGGGGAAACTGATGTAATTTCAATCGTACTTCAGTCTGTTTGCTGGACCATCTATTCAATTTTTTTTCTTTTCTTATTCTTCAATACAGAAAGAGAAAAAATTTATTTTTATTTTCCACTTCTACTAAAAATATTTTTCTTTAATTATTTCTACTATGTTTTTTACTTTTTTGTAAATTTTTCAAATTCTATTTTTTTAATTCCATCATTTCATTTTATTCTCTTTCATTGTATTCATTTTTTAAAATTTTCAAACATTTTCCTTTTTTCTTTTCTTTTTTTAATATTAAATATAATTTTTTGTCAAATTGGTTTCCATACAACACCCAGTGCTCATCCCAATAGGTGCCCTCCTCAGTTCCCATCACCCACTTTCCCCTCTCCCTCACCCCCCATCAACCCTCAGTTTGTCCTCAGTACGTAAGAGTCTCTTATGCCTCCCTCCCTCCCTGTAACTTTTTTTTCCTCTTCCCCTCCACCATGGTCTTCCGTTAAGTTTCTCAGGATCCACATGAGTGAAAACATATGGTATCTGCCTTCCTCTGCCTGACTTTTTTCACTTAGCATAATACCCCCCAGTTCCATCCACGTTGCTGCAAATGGCCAGATTTCATTCCTTCTCATTGCCAAGAAAAAATTTGTTTTGAAGAACCTCCACTGTACCCCAATGTTTACAGCAGCACTTTCAACAATAGCCAAATTATGGAAAGAACCTAAATGCCCATCAACTGACAAATGGATAAAGAAGATGTGGTTTATATATACAGTGGAATACTACTTCGCAATGAGAAAGAATGAAATCTGGCCATTTGCAGCAACGTGGAAGGAACTGGGGGGTATTATGCTAAGTGAAATAAGTCAGGCAGAGAAAGACAGATACCATATGTTTTCACTCATATGTGGATCCTGAGAAACTTAACAGAAGACCATGGGGAAGGGGTAGGGGTAGGGGAAAAAAGTTACAGAGAGGGAGGGAGGCAAACCATAAGAGACTCTTAAATACTGGGAACAGGGGCACCTGGGTATCGCAGTCGGTTAAGCATCCAACTTAAGGATCCAACTTAAGGGCATGTTAAGGATCCATCTTAAGGATCCAACTTAAGCATCCAACTTAAGGGCCTGGAGGCCCGGGGCGAGCGGGGCACTTCCCATTCTGTGTCTATAGTGCCTCGGACCTTTGTGGGGAGGTTCTGCGCTGACACCCCAGTGTCTGGAGGCTGTTTCAGATCCTGTGAAAACTGTCTGTCAGGTACAGGGAGCGGCTTCAGCCATGGTGAGCCATGGGATTGACTCAGGCTTGGTGGCCGGGTCTCGTAGAAGGTGTTTGGGATTCTGTGTTTCACTAGCCTCGGTCCTAACCCGGGAGTTTCTAAGCTGAGAGGAAGAGTTTGTTTGCTTTTTAGGAGTCAGGCATCTGTCTCCTTGGGATTTTGGGCTCGCTGCATAGCCCGTGCAGGGGCTGCTTGGGATTCTGTTTCTCCCACTTCTCCAACCTTCCTCGTAAGTTTCTCAGCTTAGACCCCATGGACTGGAGGCAGTGTGGGATACACTGACCCGTTCCTCTCAGGTGCAGGGAGAGTCTTCAGCCATGATGAGCCATGGCAAGAGACAGCCCCGGGCAAGGAGGCCCGGGGCGAGCAGCCCCGGGCGAGGAGGCCCGGGGCGAGCAGCCCCGGGCCTGGAGGCCCGGGGCGAGCAGCCCCGGGCGAGGAGGCCCGGGGCGAGCAGCCCCGGGCCTGGAGGCCCGGGGCGAGC